CAGTGGAATTAAGCTGGACACAAATGACAAAAAGATAAAAAGAACATCCTCAGATATCTGAAAATTATACAATGAAATCTCTAAATAACTAATAAATCAAAAGAGAAATCACAATTGAAGATAGAAAGTACTTTTAACTGACTGCAGATGAAAATATAACTTATCAAAACTTGTAGGGTGCAGGTAAGTTGTGCTTAGGGGGAAATTTATAGCCTAAATATATACTTTGGAGGAAAAAAAGGGCAAAAACTACAGATCTAAGCAAATATCTCAAATACAAGAAATATTTGATAGAAAACAAAAGTACAGTAAAGAAAATCAACAAGCCAAAAGCTGATTCTTTAAAAAGATGAATGAAATTGATAAAACCCTTGCAAGACTGAAAAAATAAAAACCATATAATCATCTCAGTAGATGCAGAAAAATCATTCAATAAAATTCAACACTCATTCATGGCTCAAAACTCTTGGTAAAATAGGAATTTTTTTTCTTAATCTGTAAAGTTCTACTATTAAAAACCTAGGTCAGAAGTATATCTAACAATGAGATACTAAGAATAACATAAGCATGTCTGCCATCAGCTTCTCCATTCAGTATTTTACTGGAGGGAAGTGAATGTAGCAAAATAATTAGTTACAAGGTTATATATAAATACCAAATACATTTTACACACAACAAAAAGTTAGAAAATTAAATTTAAGACACAATTTGCATGAAAATATCAAACACTTAGGAACAAATATAATAAAATATATGTAAAATCTCTACATTAATAACTGCACATTGCTGGGAGAAATTAAAGAAAACCTAAATAATGGAAATGTTTACAATGTTCATGGATTGGAAGACTACACATTGTAATATATTGATTCTACCCAAATTTATCTTTAGATTTAATGAAGTCCCAATTTTTTAAAAAATTGTTTTTTGGGAGATGGAAACTATAAGCTGATCTCAATTTTTTATTTTTTTAAACAAAGGGCCAAGGATAACCAAGACAATTTTGAAAACCAAAGTTGAGAAATTTATACTACCAGATGTCATGACTTATTAAAAGGTTATAGTAATTAACAAGACTGTCAAACTGGTGCAAGGCTGGTTAGGTGAATTGTATAGGGTCCAGTGAGGAGGAAAAAACCACACCAATGTCTATGTTGACATGGTCATGGGCTAGAATGTCTTGGTCTCTAGGTTTTACATTTGGTCTACCCTTGAGTATCAGGAGCCTATGGGGGTGGGGACTGGGTCTTTGTTGGTCACTAGTGTCCCCAACATCACCTGCCCGGGGTCTGGCTCAGAAGGGGGCAGCAGAGAATTCTTGCTGAATGAATATCTGAACAAGCCAGTGAAGAAACCCCTTCCTGCACAGACTGACCTTGAAGGCTTACAGGCAGGGAGATAGACCCTGCTTCTCTATTGGAACGTAACCCTGTGGCCCAGGAGGGCACAGGAAACAAAGCCTGGGGGAGGGTCAAAGGTAGGGCTGATGCCCTGGTCCAGTCACCTGTAGATGGAGGCCAAGGGGCAAGTGAGCCACATGGTGTTGGTCAACTTGCCCAGCTGGGGAATGTCGAAGACGAAGTATGGCTGGTTGATTTCCTTGATGTGGTCGCAGGGTGTGAGGCAGGCTTCCACCTGCAGCTCAGGCCGCATGCGGCTGTACTGCACCTTCTCTGCCCCCAGATAGAGCCAGCAGGGCATGGGTGCTTCCAGAGGCTCCTCTATGTAGCAGTACCCCAGGCGTTTGCGCTCACCTGGTCCCCCGCAGCGGTTACAGTCCTGCCAGGGCTCCCAGTGGGTGAAGATGAGCTCCTTGCCACCCAGACTCAGGGTCTCATTCTTCAGGGGATTTTGGCCCAGGTCTCTGTGGGTAATATGCAGAGCGGTGACATCTTGGAAATCAACCTCATAACTCCACCACGAGGGCACTGTTGTTGTCCTGGCAGTGATAGAGGCCTGTCTGGGAGGGCTGGGGGTTGGTCAGCTGGAGGCTGCCCCCGGGCAGTTTCTTTATGTCAGGAGTTGAGGACAGCAACAAAGGATCCTCGCCCTGCAGGGAAGAGAAGTACCAGCGTGCCCCAGGGTGGTCACACTGCAGGACAACATCATTGCCCGAGACGAGGCCTCGCTGGCAGAAACTCTTGTAGGCACAGCTGATTAACACCTGGGCCCACAAAGTGGGGACAGAAAGGCTAAGCAGCCACAGGGTGGCCAGCATGGTAGCCCGAGACTACAGCAGGCCAGGAACCCCCCTGGGCATTGTGAAGTCACCCACAGAACCCAGGCCTCAGCCCCAGGCGGTGGAATCACCCTTGATCCACGGCACTTCCTGGAGCCCAGTTCAGTTCACGTCATTAAATAGCTCAGTGTAGGTGGTGGGGCTGAAAACGCAAATGCCTGCGAGAGCCGGGTAGGAACACTGGGAGTGAGTCCAAGTCAGAACAAGTGCACCAAAAAGCCAAATTATTTGCCCTCCACACACTCAGTATACAGTGTGGGAAGGGGGCAAAATGGCTTGACGCCCAGCAGAAAGGGGAAGTCGGGGAGACACACAGAAACCACTGGTCTGGACCATTTCTAAAATCCAGTGGGAAGATACTGCACGGGCCTCCTATCTTGTAGATGGGAAGGATTCCTTCATTAGCACCAGATCAGCTCCTCAGGGGTGGGGAGCTTCCCAAACCTTTGTTCACCGTGGCTTATGTCTTCATTCTCCAGGGAGATAACCCCTTTTCCGTTATACCTCTTGGCTACATCTAATATAGCACTGAAAGATGTGCCCTCCGTGGCCCATGAACAGTTTCCTTATTCTGATTTGTCTCCCAAAGTGTGGGCCTAAGGGTTCTTACAAGCCTCCAGTCAAGCCCATGTGCCAAAGACCGTATCTCTGGTTCTGTTCAAAGATGTTCCTCATCTCTCCCTCTCTCTGTGTGTCATTGCAGGCACCTTAGACTCTGCCAGGCATCCTTGGGAAGCTATATTCACCATCCCTACTTCACTGAGCTGTTTTGTCTATCTTGGAGTATCTTAAGGGTTTCCTGGGAGTATCTTATTTCATTCAGAGATTTTAACCATGGTTACACGTGATTTAAGCCTTGATTTTTATCCTTGACAAAAGCTGAGTTTTAAAGGGGCTTTGCCTCTCAAGGTCCTTCCCAATTTGGGGCCGACTTTGCCTGACATTCACTCCTATTGTTCTGTGTTCTGCTTCCCCTAAAGCCGCAAGATCAAGTACGTTATCTGCTTCCCAAAGTATCTCAGGCAATAATTTCCATTCTCTTGGCTTCAAATAAGTTTTCTTGTACCCTTTGCTGGGTCTAAGCCAATGCCACATGTTTTTATTATTTTTTTATTACAGCAGCCGCCCACTTTCCTGACACTAATTTCTGTATCACTCAAGATAAGCTATTGGCTACTGTGATGAACTTTGCCGCAATCTCACTGACTTACAGTAACACACCTTTACTTCTCACTCATTGTCCATGTCCATTATGGGCTGGCATTATGATCACTCAGGGGTCTAGGATGATTGAGCAACTGCCACCTCGGACATTTCCAATTTTATGGCAGAGCAGGAAGAAAGAGAGCTCTGTTGGATTTCATGTCTACAATTAAATGCTCGGAACTTAAATGACACATGTCACTTAATACCATTGGCCAGAAATGGTTACATGGCACCACTCATCCACCAACCCAACAAAGGAAATGGATTTTACTTTGTCAATGAAACACTTAGCAAATGGCAGTCAGAGATGATTACTGCAGCTCATGTCTACTGCAAGGAGTGTTCTTTTTTCCCTCACTTTTAAAAATGAAGTATAGTCAGTTTACAATGTTGTGTCAATTTCTGGTGTACCGTATAAAGTTTTAGTCATACATATACATACATACGTTTGTTTTCATATTCTTTTTCATTATAGGTTACTGTAAGATATTGAATATAGTTCCTTGTGCTATACAGTAGAAACTTGTTTATCTATTTTATATATAGTAGTTAGTATCTGCAAATCTTGAATTCTCAATTTATCCCTTCCCACCCCCTCTCCCCTTGGTGACCGTAAGTCTGTTCTCTATGTCTGTGAGTCTGTTTCTGTTTTGTAAATAAGTTCATTTGTGTCTTTTTTTAAAGATTCCACATAGAAGTGATATCATATGGTATTTTTCTTTCTCTTTCTGGCTTACTTCATTTAGAATGACGATCTCCAGGTCCATCCATGTTGCTGCAAATGGCACTGGTTTATTCTTTTTTATGACTGAGTAGTATTCCATCCTATAAATATACCACAACTTCTTTATCTAAGTCTATTTATAGTTTTTTGAGGAATCTACAAGGAGTGTTCCTTTATATCATAAAGTTAAAACCATTCCCCAAATCCTCCCATCAACTCTCTCCTAAAGTTCCACTGGCCAAAATTAGGTCCCTGGTGCAAATCCAAACCAATCTCTGAAAGGAAAGAAAATTTCCATTATTGGCTTAAGCCAATCAGAATTTGTTCTCCAGGATCAGGAAAATAAAACCATCTCTCACTACAGAAGTCATTGAAGAAACTACCACCCCTGCAACAAAATCAGGGCTTCGTATGCAGGACAGATGTCGAAGAAAATGCTTATTTGGTGTAGCCAACCATATCTGCCGCAGCACCCATGGATGGGAAGTATCAGTTGTCCCAGGACTGTAGTAGGCAGTATGTGAGCTACGTGGCCTTAGGCAAGATGCTAAGACTTGCTAAACCTTACTTCCCCCATCTGTAAAATGGGACATTAGAACTTCCCATCACAAACTATGGCTGTTATAAAAGATTCATTTCAAACTCTTGGAACAATCTGGGTTGGGAAAAAGACCGTGGTTAGTTAGTGGGAATGTGGCCAAGTGGTTTCAGTCCTAGGCTCTGAGGATCAGTTTCATATCTTGATCCACCTTTTATTAAGAGTAATTCAGGCCCAGGAACTTTGTCTTCTTGTGCCTGGCATGTTTATTTACTCCATAAATAATTATTGCTTACTCAAACTGCACTAGGCACTAAGGATCCAGGCTAAGTCCCTGTTCTTTCGGAGTCTACATTCTATGGGGGATATGTTAATCAGGATAAGTCAGGTTATGCTGTAGAACAAAAGAATTCTGGGGTCTCAGAGGCTTAATATAGTTTTTTGTTGTTGTTGTGTTGTTGTTGTTTTTGGTTCATGCTACGTGTCCAATGTGGGATGGTCCCTTCGGATACCATGGCTGACGGAGGCTACACCATCTGTAACGTCATTAGGAGCTGCAGCAAGAGAAGAGCGGACAGTGAGTCCCGCACTGGCAATTAAATGTTCTGGCCTGGGAGGGATCTACATTACTTTTGTTTGCAGGCTATTAACCTAGAGTTACTCACATAGCCCCACCTAACTCTAGAGGGGCTGAGAAATGTAGGGGAGCACATGGAATATTTGCTGAGCAGTATCGTCTTTACCTTGGGGGAAAACAGATGGTAAACAAATAAGTGACTAATAAAACATCAGGTCCTGGTAAGGGCTTTGAAGGAGAATAAAGCAGGGAGAGAGACCTTTAAGGGCAGACCTACAGAGGATGAGGCAGACGAAGCAGAGTCTGGACTAAGCACACAGTACATGCAAAGGCCCTGAGGTGGGAACATGTTAGGCACATGTCAGTGCACTTCAGCCAGGAACACACGTGTGGCTGGACAAAGTTGGATTTGTTGACTAAGTGCAGCGAGGGGAGGCGTGCACGATGGGGAACTGGTGCACCATCTCAGGAAGGAGGTGTCAGAAAAGACTTGTAGAATTTGGTCATGTTTTATTTGACTTGGGCATGAAGTCAAGAAAGTGGGGATTTTCTCTGGATTGGGTGCTGTCAGGAAGTGGGAGTAAGTTATCTAGAAGGTGAGAAGAATGGGAGAGGGAGATGTTTCATATTTTGTGGCTTGGACAATGTCCCTGTTTTGTCTGTGTTGGGACATGATTATGGAGTGGTCTTGGTTTTTTTATTTATTTTTATTTTTTTAATAAAGGTACTGGGGATTGAACCTGGGACCTTGTGGATGCTGAGCATGTGCTCTACCACTGAGCTGTTACCCTGCTCCCACTCCTGGAGTGGTCTTGTTTTTATCTTGGTTCATCAGTCATAGAGAGACTCTGTGTGATGTTGGTGTTCGGTGAAATTCTTTCTAGTGACCCAGCTGTGAGTTCTAGGCCAGCTCCTAGAAACACCAACATCCAGTTATGAGTGTCAGGTCAGCTCCCAGCTACCAAGGGCTGTTTTTCTTTCTCACATATTTGTGGAGCTACAATGAAGACTCTTCTTGCAATAAAGACCTGGTCAAATGGCTTTCTCTCTGTGAACCACAGTTTCCTCATTTTCAAAATAGGGATTTTAATGGTACTGGCCACAGAAGGCTCAAATGGGGATTTGATGAGCTGTTGTAAAGTGCTCAGTCAGTGTTATCACTGATGGATGGGCAATAAGGACCTTGCCCTCCAAATCTGCATTCTGATTGCAGATTACTGCTTTTTTTTTTTTTATTAATGAGAGGGAGGCAATTAGGTTTATTTATTTATTTATATTTGGAGGAGGTACTGGGGATTGAACCCAGGACCTCATGCATGCTAAGCATATGCTCTTTCACTTGAGCTATACCCTCCCCCCTCAGATTACTGCTTCTGATCACTGAGGTGCAGACACAGAGGCAGGTCACCATTGTTTCAGCTCCCACCAGCCTGAAGTGGCTTCCAGGAGATTGAAAGGGACTGCTGGGTTTTCTCCACTTTCCCCCCTGGATTGGGAGCCACACATTTAGGGATTAGGACATTCAAAAACAACATGCATACAGAACACAGGAGGATTTAGAAAGTCATTGCACAAACCCAGAGAAAGATGCAAGCTCAGAAAAGATCTGAGGTGAGCTTAAGTGTTCACCTCAGGCTGATCCCCAGCACAGACACATTCTAAAACTGCCACAACAAAACTCCAGCAAACCCTGGGAAGAGGGGAAATATGATTTCCAGAGTTACCACTTAGAAGATTTAAATGTCCATTTTCAACAACAACAACAAAATCACAAGGTATAAATAGGAAAGTATCCCATTCAAAGGAAAACAGACAAATGTCTCTAAGGGAGCCCAGGTGGCAGACATACTAGACAAAGAATTAATCTGTCATAAAATGCTCAAAAATCAACAGAGACATAGAGAAAGACAGAAAAATGATGTATGAACAAAATGAGATTACCAATAAAG